CCTGCAGGCTTATAAAGAAGTGAGTGGGAGGTGCTCTCTAGTCCTTGTTCCATTGTTTGGGGGATAACAGGATTATGAGGAAACAGACTCTGCTTTTCTGAGCCACAGTGCTCTTTGTAGTTACGCTTGAAGCTTTGTACAGTACGTTTTGCTGTGCTTAAACTAAAGATCTTTGAAGGTAAGAAGAATGGTTGGTTCTAGGATTGCAGCTAACTTGAAGAACACCAAGGGGATGGAAGTTTTTTTAAAAAAAAATAAACTTAAACAAAAGACAGATAATGAAGGGAAGAAGCAGATTGCAGTTTCCATACCAAGTCTTTGTAGCTTGCTTGGAGGGGTTGCTCTGTCTCCACGGGATCCTAATACGGTACATTCTTTTTCCAATCCTTAGGCATTTGCCAGCGAGAAGGTCTTTGGGGTGCTGAGCGAGAAGCTATATGAATTGCTGCAGCTGGTGAGTTTCACTTGGAATCACTTCCCAGATCAAAAGGGTGGTGGCGGTGGCGGCTTGAGGACAAGAAAGGGTTGTGAAAAGAGATAAGATTTTGTCAAACAAGACTAGGGTGGGAGCAGTGAAGACAACGGCCTCCTCCTTGAGTTCATCTCTTTCATGGGCTTCCAATACGTGTGTGTGTTCTTTCTCACCCTAGGACTGGGAGCAGCGCCAGGAAGAAGATAACCTGTTAATTGAGCGCATCTTGCTTCTGGTGCGCAATGTGCTGCATGTGCCAGCTGATCCTAATGAAGAGAAGGTATGGATGTGAAAGGCTGGCATTTGGGCTGGTAAACGCCAGCCTTGCATGATGCATGGAGTAAACATACAAGCATATACCTGCAGATAAGAGGAATCTGGGCTTCCCAAATTCCTCCCCCATTGAGTTATACTAGCTGGTGCTGTTGTAGGTGATGATCAGGACTGCCATCCTTCGCTTGAGCTTCACATTAGCTAGCTGCCAGTCTGCCATGAACCATGGGGGGAGGGAGCTGGTCGGGAGGGGGGGGAAGGCTAACTACTCATACCTTCCAGAGACACCCTCTTTAAGTCAAAATGCTGGGCATGGAATATAACAGCTCACCAACCAGCCCTCTGTTGAAGAGACAGTTCCCGAAACAATTTATTCAAATGTAATTTGGACAATAAGGGACTAGCAAGGGCAGAAGTGGGGGCAGGTCTGACAGTGATATTGACGATATCAGATAATCGGAAGTTTCCTATTCAGTGTTTCATCTGCATTAACTCAACAACTCACTGCGGTACTGCTGAATGACTCTCCATGGTTATTTTAGGGGGTGGGAATGTCTTAAGCTTAATAAATAATGCCTTGCTGCCGGTATGGTTTGAATATTGTTATTTAGGGAGCCAATATACTTCAGCTGAATGATAATAGCGGAAGAATCAAAGAAAAATGTGGGATACATTGTTCCTGTCCAGAAGGCTCTCACTGTGATTTCCCTTTTTTCTTAACATTCTGAGGGGAACGTGCTCTTTATTACTACGTCTGCCTTGCCAGCTCTTCTTTTATATGACCTGGGAGGTGTCTGTTCTGTCAGCCCTTCAGTGTAGTTCAGAACTTATTGTAAGATTAACAGTAATAAATTCTTGCAAGTCTGAAAGCAGAGCTCTCCTCCCTTGCCTGTACTTTCCAGAGAATTAAGGGGAGTCCTTTCTGAGATGATTTCTCCTCCCCCATTCCTCCCCCATTTCTTGGGTGGACTGCTAGGCCTTTTATCTGACTGTTGCCTGGCTGTGGCTCTTCCTCATCCTGTTTATCAAGGATATTCCCAAAGAATATGAGTGTGTCAGTAGGACACTTTGCCTATTGTGTGGTGTGACATGAGGTTGAGCAAAATGGATATTATAGCTTCTTGTGATTTAAAATTCCACATAGGTAGTCCTTCATGTACAACAGTTCATTTAGTGATCATTCAAAGTTGCAATGGGACTGAAAAAGTGGCTGATGACCGTTTTTTCACGCTTAATGACCGTTGCAGCATCCCCATGGTCACGTGATCGAAATTCTGAAGCTTGGCAGCTGACATTTATATGTATGATGGTTGCAGTGTCCTGGAGGTCACGTGATCTCCTTTTGCGACCTTCTGACAAGCAAAGTCAATGGGAAATCTAGATTCACTTAACAACCGTGTTACTAACACAACATGTGCGATGATTCACTTAAAACAACTGTGGCAAGGAAAGTCGTAAAATGGGGCAAGACTCACTTAACAAATGTTTCACTTAGCATTATAAATATAGGGCTCGGTTGTGGTTGTAACCTGAGGACTACCCGTATTCTAATGGTTAATCCCATCCGATCTCTCCGATAAGAACATTGATGATGATGCCAACATCCATGACCGGGTGCTCTGGGCTATGCACATCAGCGGGATGGATGATTTGCTCAAATTCTTGGCCAGCTCCACAAGTGAACAGCAGTGGAGTCTGCACGTGCTGGAGATAATCTCCCTTATGTTCCGTGACCAGGTAAGCAAGCAAGTCTGTTCGGATCAGAGATGAAGGCTGGGGTAGCGTGGGAAATATCTGCAGGTGGCAGAAAGAAGCAAAGGTTACAGTGTTTCTAGGTTGGAACTCCAAAGAGATTTCCAGGAATTTTGAATTTTTTATAGCTTCAGAAGGGGAATGCGTTGGCTCAGTGGCTAAGACATTGAGTCTTAGACCAGCGGTCCCCAACCTTGGCAGCTTGGCAGGGGGTGGTGGAGAGAACTGAGCCGCGCGAGTGGCGGGCTGGCATACAGGCACAGGCCCACGCAGCTCAACTTGCGCAAATTGAGCTGTGCATGCATGTGCACATGCGTCGGCCTGCGGCTCGCACAAGTTGAGCTGCGCACGCCGGCCCGCCACCTGCACAGCCCGGTTCTGAATAGGCCACGTCCGGGTAGTGGGCCACAGCCTGGGGGTTGGGGATTCCCTTCCTTAGACTGTTAAAGGTCTACAACTCGACAATTCGAGCACAGCAAGATGGAGTGAGCTACCGTCACTTGTCCCAGCTCCTGCCAACCTAGCGATCTGAAAGCATGCAGATGCAAGTAGACGGATAGGTACTGCATATAAGCCTGTGGGAAGGTAACAGCCTTCTGTGTTTTGCCGCATACTCTGTGCTATGGTGATGTCACGACTACGGAAATGTTTTCGGACAACACTGGCTCTTTGGCTTAAGAAATAAAGTCGAGCACTATGGCTAAGGTTGGTTATGACTAGCAGAGTAAAAACCCGCAGAAAAACTTTTACTTTTTTACCTATATAGCTTCAGAAAGTAGAAGAGGAAAAAGGAAGGTTGAGAGATAGTTGAACTGTTGACCAAGATCGATAGTTGTACTTTTTGTTAGAAAATGTGGCTCTTTAGCCCATGCTACAGTTTCATCCTCTGGTTCTGGCTGGCTTCTGTCAGAGTCGGAATATTGTGGATCATTAACAAAGAACAGCTTTTTTCATTCACATTTTTAAATTAACATTTAATTTAATGTTAATTAAACTTTTAATTAACATTTAAAGTTTCAGCATTGTGGAGAGGCAAAAGCTTCCTTGTCCAGTGCAATCTCTGTTGGTTTGCTTTCTGCTGGGGTGCCTGGATTTAAGGGAAGGGAAGGAATAAACATAGCTTTCTTTGCTGGAAGAAAATTGTTCCCAACAGAATGCAGAGCTGTTGGCAGCCACAGGGCAGACCCGTTCAGCCAAGGAGCAGAGCATAGACGTGGCAGGCCTGGAAATCTTGAGGCAGAAGGAACAGGCTGAGAAGAAGACTCGTATATTCCAGCGGAGTAGCAGGTGAGGAAGTGAACTTAGAGGTCTTCCACTTGGCTTTCCCAGCCAATCACTGTCACTAAGGATGATTTGGGGGAAAAAAGGATCCTCTCCGTTCCCAGTTATGTCATCCTTTAAATGTCAAGAATTGAGCCTGTAATCTTTTAACCAAGAAAGCCATCCCCCTTCCTTGTAAATGCTATCTCTAAGTTGGGAAACCTTCCCAAAAACATTTCTTTCTTGCAAAGATAATTTACTACTGTCCCAATCATGGTTTCTCGTACAATATTCAGATTCAAAGCAGACAGCGATGCTTCAATCTATTCAGGGCACCCTCCTTGTACCTATTTGTTTGTTTGTTTATTAAATGTATTTGCCACGTATCTCACCATGGGGCAGCTTACAATAATAAAAAGGAAGAAAAATGAAAAGAGTGTAAACAGAACATAAGTAAAACAATAGAACAATAAAATACACAATGGCAAAGGAAGTTAGCAGTTAATCCTCGAATGAACAGTTGCACAGGCTCACAGAAATGTGTATTTGAGCTAAGGATGTAACAACGGTGTGCAATCATTTTTTACTACAACCCCCCCCCTTCCCCCCAAAAAAGAACCTCTTTAAGGAGCGGCTCTTACAGGGAGAAAGAGGCACGTGCCAGAATCAAATACCCTTTATTTGATTCAGATTCTGAGCTCCTTTGTTTTATGGCGTATAAACCACTGCAAACAACACTGCATCTTTTTGAACACAAAAATGACACTGAAAATGAAACAACATTAAAGAAAATATTGCAAACTTTGAGAAAACTGGAAAAATTGGATGGAAAGCAGCACCACCATTAGTTATTGAAATTGTACAATTTTTCCACTTTCTAAAAAGTCCTTAAACCAAAATAAGTGTCCATCATCATTAAAGATGAAAATAGGTGTTGATTTGATGAAAACTTTCCCTATACAATTTAGAAAGTCTTTAATTGTTTCAGTGCAGTTTAAGGGGGTGTGAATTATACTTTCCATTACACAAGATGGGTCTTTAGTCTGTGTAACTTTTTAGTTCTCTGGCTAAATTCATAAATTTAATCTAGAACAGCTGTTGTCACTAACCATTTTTTTTTACAATTTTTTTGCAATTTTTTTTACAGTCTAATTTTGATGACTTTCCCAAATAATATCCAAAATTATTTTTTATTCAACAAGGAGTTCTAAGCTGACTCATTCCAGTTCACATCCTATTTTTGTACATGTTAAGATTTCAGCAGAATCAATTATACTTGGAAAAATATTTATTATTTAGGAGTTATCTTTGATTTGAAATGGGTAGATAGTTATCATTCTTCACAAATGGTTGATGTTATGATTCATAAATTAGTGCACTTGTTCATGCGAAATCAAGGTAGAACTTGGGACTGCTTCTTCTGAAGAATATATTCAACAGAATAGATGTCCCATAAGAGCCAAGTTTCTAGTCTTATATAATAATTCATCTTCCCATTTGCTGAAGAGATATTGTTTATCACAATGGCTCTCAACCTTTTCTTCACCACTGACCTCTTTAAATACCTTTTGTGGCCACAGAGCATGGCCACGGATCACCAAGATTTAACTCAAGATTTAAATCTGTGGTGACATCGGGGCCCCCAAGGGATCCACAGACCACAGGTTGAGAACCACTGGTTTAAAAGTTTAAAATTTAGGTGATCAAGAAATGGAAGAAGAGGAAAGGAAAAAAGAGTCTGAACTGTCTCCAGTTTTCCATACTACTCAAGGAAAGTTTGGGTACAAATTTGTATATTCCACAGCTCTATATTGAGGGCAGTAGCCTGTAGACCAGAAATTACTGTCCGATTAAGTTCATTATTTATCATTATCTTCTCATTAATGCTGCCAGAATACATGAACGAGCCCTTCAGTACCAGTGATAAAATGGGGTTGGATGTGCAGGGGAAAAGGAATCTTGCAAGAATGAAGTCCAGTACTCTTTCAGTTGGTTCTCATCATGAATGCTTCACTGGACAATTTTTAAGAGACAGAAATGGACAGAGGGAATTGAATACAGTACAATTATTGCCTGCGTAAGAGCAAAACAGCTGCTATCAAAATAGACAATTCTGGGTAGGTTGACCAAAAATCATGCCTTTTCTAAAGTCAGTTTCTGCCTCCTCTTGTTGAATCTTGTTCAAAAGGTGGTATTTTGGTAAAAGAGTCTGATTATTATTATTATTATTATTATTATTATTATTATTATTATTATTATTATTATTATTATTATTATTATTATTATTATTATAAAAATACAATAACAATAATAAAGTTGGAAAGGACCTTGGAGGTCATCTAGTCCAACCCCCTGCTTAGGCAGGAAACCCTATACCATTTCAGACAAATGGCTGTTCTAATTGATTCTGCTGAAATCATAAAATAATATGTTGAATAATTTTCAGTCTTATTTAGGAAAGTCACACTTTTACCTGTTTTCTTTTCCCTTAGACACTCTCGTTTTGGTGGCTGTTATGTTATTCAGGGCTTGAAAGCTATTGGGGAAAGAGATGTGGTGATGCACAAGGGGCTACACAATGTAAGTCACTTTAAGTTACTGTGTGCAAGGTTGGGAAGAGTGGATTTTTTTTTCCAGGATGCAGCATCTGCACATCTGTATAGTGTTGAGGGTGTTTCTTCAAAGGAGTGATGCTACTTTCTGCACTTATAAGAAACGGAGAAAGGAAAGCGTGGGATGTTATGGGCACATGAATCATGTAGCTTTTTATTTGTCCTCAAATCTGCCTGTCTTTGTTACAGTAACTGTCACTGAAGTGTTTAATAAAAGACTACTATAGCTATTGGGTTTCCTAGACCCCTATGCCATCATTTATGTCTTCGGAAATTCCTGGCCGGTGTTGGTGGACATCTTCTTCCAGCGCAGGCCCCTGCGCAGATCCCTGCTTTTTCATAAGCTGGCTTCCAGTTTTCTTAGCATATCAGTTGGTTGAGGTCAACTTTCAGAACTTCTTTTCGCTAGCTCAGGGGTAGGCAACCGTGGCTCTTTTATGACTCGTGGACTTGCCTATCCCTGTGCTAGCTCATAAAACTACCAGATTATAACGTAGATCAATCCACAATTGTAAAGAAGTAATTGCACCATCATCAACCATATTCTCCAGACCAAGTAGACCATATACATTTAGATTAGACCAGGGGTTCTCAGCCCCTGGGATGCGAACCAGCAGCAGACCGTGGAGTGCAAAGCCCCATCCTCACGTGCTCGAGCTCCAGGCAGCACGTGAAACACATATACACGTGCACGGTTTTTCAACAGAAAAACCACCCTATACAGAACCAGTCCTTGGCACCCAAAAGGTTAGGGGCTACTGGATTAGACCCTCTAGATCAGGGGTAGGCAACCTTGGCTCTTTTATGACTCGTGGACTTCAACTCCCAGAATTCCTGAGCCAACCATGCTGAGGGGAAAGAGAGAGGTTTCCAAGCTGAGCCATGCTGGCTCAGGAATTCTGGGAGTTGAAGTCCACGAGTCATAAAAGAGCCAAGGTTGCCTACCCCTGCTCTAGATTAAGCTAATTTTTACAGAAACCATGTAATGTGCATTAAAAAATGTTTCTGATTAATGACACTTATATATGTTGCATGCTCACTGGAGACAATCACTTGAAAAACAGTATAATTGCCAAGTTTGTCTAATGTTATCTCTGCACTTTATTATGAAATGGAAACTTCTGCAGGAAACCATAGAGCTGTGGTAAACTTTCCGTCTGGTATTATTGGAGCTAAGGTGGAAGGAGTTGAATCCACATTCCGCCCCCCTCTCCCCCCTTCCGTCTTATTCACATTCTGCCCCATTCCTGGACAGATGAAGAACTACAGCCACGATCTGTGCAAGGAGGTACGCCGGGTGCCGAAAAGGCAGCAGCTCGCCAGTGATGGTGAAGGACCCCCTCGCCGCTCTGCCCTAAATGTGCGGCGCTTCCTCCAGGAGTTCTGTGTGGAGTTCTTGGAGAACTGCTACAATCGCCTCATGTACCTGGTCAAGGTGAGAAGAAGGAGTTTCCGGTGTGGAGCTGGCCAATTGCAATTGGGTACCATAAAAGAGAAGAGGGAGGTGTCTTAGCCATCTACGACCCTCGTTTATAGGACTGGGCAGCAGTCAGATTCATTGGGATCAGGGTGGCTTTACTGAGCCCGTTTGCACTCAGGTTGGAGATACTAGAAGTCAAATTTTTCAATGATTCTTGTTCCTCCTCTGGTGCCAAAGGGAAGAATAAGAACATTATTACTCCTTATCCACAGTGGAAAGTTCTTGGATGCTCTTAAAATGCAGCTTATTCCCTTTAAAGTTAAAGACCAGCATATTTTGATGGATCCCTTCCATTTACATTGTGTTCAACATCTAAGGCTGTGTTATATGTTCTGCCATCTTTGGAGATAGGTTTGGGGAGTAAAAAAAGTGGAATTTCTTGATGACATGGCCCAGTTGTAAATTTCCCTCCTATGAGAAATTCTCTTTCTTAGAAGGGCATCAAATATTTTTTTCCCCCCAATTCTGCCATTCCTTTAAAACCACTATTGAAGGAATATGTGATTTAAATTGGCTCAAATTCATTTATAGCAATGGCACTTAGATTTATATACCTCTGCACAGTGCTTTACAGCATTCTCAAATTCATTTATAGCAATGGCACTTAGACTTTAATAATAATAATAATAATAATAATAATAATAATAATAAAAAGTTGGAAGGAAACTTGGAGGTCATCTAGTCCAACCCCCTGCTCAGGCAGGAAACCCTATACCATTTCAGACAAATGGCTGTCCGGTCTCTTCTTAAAGACTTTCAGTGTTGGAGCATTTACCACTTCTGGAGGCAGGTTATTCCACTGGTTAATTGTTCTAACTGTCAGGAAGTTTCTCCTTAGTTCTAGGTTGCTTCTCTCCTTGGTTAGTTTCCACCCGTTGCTTCTTGTCCTGCCCTCAGGCACTTTGGAGAATAGCTTGACTCCCTCTTCTTTGTGGCAGCCCCTGAGATATTGGAACACCTCTGCACAGTGCTTTACAACACACTCTGGGCGTTTTGCAATGTCAGCCTATTACCCCCAACAATCTGGGTCCTCATTTTACCAACCTTGGAAGGATGGAAGGCTGAGTCAACCTTGAGCCAGTCAGGATCGAATTCCTGGCTGTGGGCAGAGTCATCCTGAAATACTGCATTCTAATCACTGCACCACCAGGGCTCCTGACTGTTGTCCTGACACTGCTCTAAGTGCTTAAATGTTATTTTATGCGTGTTTAATCTCCACTGTTTGCATTTTAGGGTTTCTAAATTATCTTGGCCTATCAGATCTGCTTGTGTTCTGAAACTGAATGCATCTGATAGGGAGCCAAAAGAGCAGAGGCTACGAGATCATAGATGGCCTTGGACATTCTCTTTCTTTCTTTCTTTCCCCCAGGATCACTTGATCAGGGAAAAAGCCCAACAGCACGATGAGACTTACTACTTATGGGCTATGGCTTTTTTCATGGCCTTCAACCGGGCCTCTTCTTTCCAGCCTCAGCTGGTTTCTGAGACGGTTGGCGTTCGGACCTTCCATTTCATTGAACAGAGTCTGACCAACTACTATGAAATGAGCCTGGTAGATAAGAAGGACATCACCTCTTGGTCTAAAAGGTGAGAGGACATTCTCACCATGGAGCATTCTGTGGAATTTTTGATTTATTTTTTTTTTGCCTGTGCAGACTTAAATAATGTCATTTATTATTGTTAGAGAATTTTAATTTCTCTGTTGGTAAAAATAAATCAGAAGCTCTCACAGTTGACTGCATTTAGCTGATTCAAATAAACTCTTTATATTCATATAAAATTATTTACAATACCATATATTCTTCTTCATAGCAACATAGCATAAATGAAGACTTCTTACAGCAGAGACAGACCAGAGACCTGAAACTAAAACCCAGCTTCTAACTCCATAACCCTTTTGCACAGACTCAGTAGCACTTTCTTCACATTGGCTGACTGAGTTACCACATGACTCTTTCTGCTCATGAATATTCCAACAATTATCTCACCTTCCTATGCAAAGTCAGAGGAATTCCTGCTTCTCAACTTCTTTTCCTCGTCTCTCAGGATGCATCTGGCTCTCAAGGCTTACCAAGAATTGCTGACGACTATGCATGAAATGGACCATTCCCAGGAAGAAGCTGTGCGCAACAGCAGCCACATCCTTAAAAGTAAAGTTTTTTCATTATATGCCAAGTTATTTCCTGGGATAACATTCTAGGTTTCCTGCTGGAAGGAGAAACCCATTGTAATCTGTACCAATTCCAAGGGAAAGGCTTAGAACTACATTTGCTTGGAGGGATAGGATCACAGACAGGCCTTTGGTCTGGCTAGTCTAGAATTGTTAACATGATAAGTATTTTAAATGGCTTTCCAGCCATCCCTGAACATAACTATAAATTGAAGTTGTAGTCTTCTGAACGGATACTCTGTTCTCTGTCACTAAATATTGTACCTCCATGTTTTTCTTATCAGATTTAACCAGAAAGGCTAAATAAAGTATATTTGCTGAGCAAATAGAGCACGAAGAGAAAAGCAACAGTGGCCTTTCAGCTCCCAAAATTAAACTACACTTGGGGGGGGGGGAAACTTACCCACTTTATTACTACTTCCCCTCTCCATTATTTAGGGAATGTTGGTTTTGCTTGGATGAAACTAATGACAAGCCCTTCCTTCCTCTAGATAACATTTTCTACTTGATGGAATATCGGGAGTTGTTCCTCGCTCTTTTCCGTAAGTTTGATGAGAAAAAGCAACCCAGGTCATTCCTGAGAGATCTGGTGGAGACAACTCATCTCTTCTTGAAGATGCTGGAGAAATTTAGCAAAGGGAGGAAAAACCTAGTGGTCCAGGTATTCTTGGGGTATGGGAATTGAGTTCCTTTCCTTCGAATATCCAGTTACGGTATTTCTTTAGGAATCTTTTGGTCAATGCACATGTTTGTTCTTTTCACTGTTACCCGATTTTTTTTCTTCAAGATGCTGACTGCTTCCTTTCTTCGTTGTTATGCTCCCCATAAGTGGTTGGTGTCAGTTCTGCCATCTTTGGCTTGGCGCCTTGCTGCCATCAAAGATGGGGAGGGACGAGGTGGGACAAATGGGCAATAAACATGTATGGGGATGTGATGGGAAATAAGGAGGGGGTGGATGACAGCTTGATGAAGACCACGAAAGCATGGGTCCAATTTTGTGCCAGTCCTCAAGGCCATGCACCCTGAGAATGGGATGTGGATTGCCCCAAACATTTCAGCGATTCTCAAAACACCCATGCAGCTCCTTATTGGATGAAGATTAACTGGTCAAGGGGGGAGGGCTGGGATGAAGGGGATTTTTTTTTTTAACCTTTTGTGCAGGAATCTTCGTTCTGGCCTGACTTTACTACAGCCAGCAACTAGTAGTAAAAGATAGTAAAAGAACTATCACTTCACCCAAATGGAGCGGAGGGCCTTTCTTTCCTAAGGGATGTAACTGGGGCAGGTTGGTCTAGGACAGGGGTAGGCAACCTTGGCTCTTTTATGATTCGTGGACTTCAACTCCCTGGCTCAGGAATTCTGGGAGTTGAAGTCCACAAGTCATAAAAGAGCCAAGGTTGCCTACCCCTGGTCTAGGAGAGAGCAGCTTAGCCAACGTCACGTAGAAAGCTGGGCTTGAATCTAACTAGATTAAAGCTGGAGGATCTTGGGTCCTCTAGATGCTGCTGAAGTAAGGTTTTCAGTGACCCCAATCAACGTGGCAAATACTGTAATGCTTATTCTCTTTTCTCAAAGCACGATTCAAACATTGTTTTTGTTTTGCTGCAGGGCAAGAAATGCAGGAGGAAAAAGAAATCCAAGGCTCATTCTGCTGGGCCCGGTGCGCAACCCCAAACTCCTGAAGAGTTAGAGGAGGTGTGGCCAAAGCTGGTGGAGCAAATTGATAAGTGCATAAAGGTAAGATGAATCTAGTTGGCACGAAGAGGGCTTCTTGCCAACTGGATAGCAGGAAGTTGGCTCTTCAGAGTGCAGAAGTCAGGACTTCTGGGTTCCATCTTGCTCACAATGAGCAGAGGTCCTTCTCTCTGGCATCTTCTCTTGTAAAACAAGATAGTATTCGTGTTGCAGAAAGTGCCAGCTGGGTACTTCCTTGAGGCGATTGGCAAAGGCTAGGTTTTCAGAGAAGAGTCTTTTCTTCTGCCTGGAGGTACCAGGGCTGTATACAAAGCACAAATACTCTGTTGCTAAGCTATGGCCTTTGCCCAAAAGTCATACAAACCCTTGTATGAACTCTTTGTAAGTGAGGTATAGAAAAAGACCCATTGTGACGTCTTTGAAAAAAACAAAACATCTTCAATTGCACACGGTCCTTGCAAACGAAAGAAGAGCTCTCCTGGATATCTTTATATAATTTTTTTGCTGATTCTGCAGGTTGTGATACCTTGTTTCCAGATCAACCTTTGCAGAAGGAATATGAACACCAGATCAATAGCTCTTTTTTTCTTCGTTCTCTCCTTTCGCTAAAGTGGTGGGATGGTGGGTGGTGGTATTATCCTTTTTGTTTACATAATTCATTCTAGCAGCCTCTCGCTAGTCTGCTTTCAACGCCAGGTTTTTCCTCCCTTCTTTTTATCCTCCAAGCCTATTTTGAGGCAACAAACTGATCTTTTTAAATGGTTCCTCCTAATAATTACAGGGCAGTGCTGTTTCTCAAAACTTCATGAAAGTGGGCAGAATGCAGGCTAGAAGGAGGAATAATGGTTCTTGGTATTGCCTCTTCCATCCTTTTCAAGTCATTCCTGTGGATTCCATGCCTTTCCAGCTTACCCTTGACTAATTTACACCTGTGTAAAGCTTGCTTGGGTTGGCTGTAGCAAAATTCAAAATCTTTTGTTTGGATCTGTAACATTTCTTGCTGAAATTTCTTTCTTTTGGGAAAGGAAAAAAAAAGGATCTTGCTGTCACAGGCTTCCATCCAATATCTCTTTTCTTGCCAGGGTTTTGAGTCTTCTCCAGAGGATGTCATTCCTTTTGACGCCACATCAGAAGTTCCATTAGAGGAACAGCGAGCTGAGGCCATGATACGGATCCAGGACAGCTTATTAACCGGCCAGGCACCAGAAGCGCTCTCACTCTTGCGCTCGGCAAGGTAAGAGAGCAACTTCAAAGATGCATCTGTGGGTGTGTTTTTAGCTTGCAGATAAAAATCTGTAGGTCTGTATGCAACACTTCAGAGCAATATCTTATCCTGATTCAGCCAGGTTGTTGCTCTCCAGCAACTGGAAATGGGACCAGGAGAACGATTGGGTAGGAGAGTCTGCTCATCCACACATAAGCAAATCTTCTGAATTCCTGCACTAAGGAGACCCTCAATGGTCTCAAAGGAACCCTTCCAGCTTCATGATTCGTCAAAACATCATCCTCTAAGACTTTTTATTTATTTATTTTTTCAAAAAACAAGAATCCCGTTAACAGTCTTATTTAACGAACAAGACTATTATAATAAGGTGGAATCAAGAGAGCAATTGACTGCAGAGGGATTTAACTTTTCAGTGTTTTTTTATATGCACAGTTAAAAGAAAGATATAAGATAGACATTAGGACAGTTAGTGGCAGGAGACAGAATTTGAAGCTGAATTATGTACAAATAATGTACATATAATTGCTAAAAATGTGTAAACCTTTGTTGAAATTTGAAACAGAAGAGCCAGTTTGGTGTAGTAGTGAAAACCAAGAGACTGTGAGTTTGTCCTGCCTAAGTTATGAAAGCCATCTGGATGACTGGGTCAGTTTCTCTTGTCCCAACCCCACTAATAGAGTTGTTATTGAGGGAAAAATAGGAGGAGGATGGAGTATTAGTTATGTTCCCTGCCTTGAGGCATTTATAAAAATAATAAATAAATGAACAAGTTAAAGAGTGTAGGTTAAAATGGGGAAAAAACTTTGAATATAACATATTGATGGAACAGTGGGATAGCATGTAGTTGAAAGGAATGAAATTCACACTGTTATAATTTAAAAGGAGAAATTGTATAAACTGGTGTGCCATTGATATATGACTCCAGAAAAATTATCTAAGAATGTATAAAGGCACTTCTATCCATGTTGGAAATATGAACAATGTAAAGGATCATTTTATCATGCCTGGTGTATTTGTAAAAGCCAGAAAAATTTGGGTCCAAATGCATACCGAGACACAAAAAAATTTAAACACTAATATTCAACTGAAAGCAGAACTTTTCTTATAGGGATTAATGGACAGACAATTAGCAAAGAGCCGTAGAATATTATTTTTATATATGATCACTTTTGTGAGACTACTTTATGTGCAAAAATGGAAAGACTGTGAAGTACTATAATTGAGGAATGGTTGGTAAAGATGACAGAACTAGCGGAAGTGGCAACATCAACTTGTTTGCTTAAAGAAAGAACAACTACTAAATTTATCAGTGAGTGGAAAACCTTTATGGACTTTTCTGCTGAAAAAAAGAAAAATGAATTTATGATTTACGGATTTGATGATTTGAAAGGGTAGATTATGGAAAGAAATAAATTAAGATACAGCTTTAGAAACAGGATAAAATATAAATATACTGATAATTGCTATTAAGACGATCAGAAGCCACTTCTTCGTAACATACTGCATTTCTCAATAGTATCAATGTGAGATTTATAAATCCCCTGCAGATCAGTTACATTGTCTGAACTTTTACAATAATAGTTGCTAAGTAGTAGATAGATACTGGTAGCTCTGTGTTTAACCCTGCTTGTAGTGTCTGCAGTGCTTGATGTTGAGGAGAAGAGAAGTTTATCCATCTCCTGCACTTAGCTAAGTTTTGTTTGTTCTGCTCCATAAGGGAGGTGTGGCCTGAAGGAGACGTGTTTGGCTCATCCGCTGTTGATCCAGTTGAAGAAATGGAGCTGCTGAAGCAAATCTTCTTCGCCAACCTCCCTCGTGAGTATACTTCCTCATGAGTATGCCACTTCCCTCAGACTTTGAAAGAGCCCTTGTGGTGCAGTGGTTAGAATGCAGTATTGCAGACTGACTCTGCCAACTGCCAGCAGTTCCATCCTGACCGGCTCAAGGTTGGCTCAGCCTTCTATCCTTCCGAGGATGGTAAAAGGAGGATCCAGATTGTTGGGGGGCCATAAGCTGACCTCTGTAAACTGCTTAGAGAGGGCTGTAAAGCACTGCAAAGCGGTCTACAAGTCTAAGTGTTATTGCTAGTGCTATTGCTAAGACTTTGTCTTATACTTGCTCTTCATGGATTCTTCAACAATTTAGGTTACCTTGGTCTTTTTCTGGCTGGGCTGTTTTTTAAACAGCAACACAACACTACAGATCCCTAAGGCGGCATTTCTCATATTGCTATAACAACAGTGTATCATGCATGTATGCACAGACACACATTTTCTCAGGCAAGTCCTCTGTGTTTCTGAGCTGGATTAATGACAGTTTCCTTTAAACCTCCTGTGTGTATTCAGGGCAAGCAGCGACTGACCCAGATGAGCCTGAGGAGGCTGCCGAGGATGAGGAAGTTGCTGAGGAAGAGTTGGCATCTGTGCAGGTGTCTGAAAAAGAGTTCAGCTTCCTGGACTATGTGAAGCGGTAAGTTCTTTCTCAGTCTCTTTTATCTTTTCTGTGCAAGGAGTATTTCAGATGACAAAAATTTTCTGTGCATTCTTACCTTGCCCATCATACAAGTAGTCCTTGACAAACGACCGTAGTGGAGTCTGCCCGTTACAGTCGTACTGTCAACGCTGCTAATATTGTATATTCTTGCTTTGACAAAATATGCAGAACCGTCTGGTATTTTTAGAGTTAATGCAGAGGAGAAGGAGGGAGGAGGGAAAAGCCCGGGAAAGAGAAAGGAAGGGAACCTTTGCCCTTCACACTAATTGGAGAACGTAAATCATGACAACAAAATAGGGAGTGGAAATGCTAGCAAAATACTGCTCGAAGGGTGGGGATTTTAGATCGTTATGCCCTGCCGACATTTTGTAACATAATAAAAGACTTTTAGGAAAACCAATGCCTGGAAGTTCTTTGAAGTGTTTCATTAGTCGGAACCATGACACGTACGTTGTGGCCTTTTTTGCGGTGGCCGTTAAGGGAATGCCACAGAACACTGATCTTTAAGCGAAGCAGGATTTCTCTGGGTGCAGTTTTTGCCAAAACCTGGAAATAAGTATCCAGTTTTGGCAAAACCATTGTAAAGCTTGGTCAAGGGACCGTGGGACGGTGCAAATGACCATACCTGCGGCCGTGTTGCTGAGCACTCGAAGTTCAGTCATGTGACCATGGAGGGAGCCCAATCGTTGGAACTTCAAAATCAGATCTTAAGTCCCCCTTTTCCTGGTCTGTCATAACTTTGAATGGCTGCTAAGCGACGTTAGTCGACAACTACTAGAAACAGTAATTGATGCATTTGAAGCTACTGAATGTTGTTATTCCCTTGACGTTCTGAGTTCCAGCCTGCGTGCACAAACAATCTTCCCCTGCTGTTTCCCAGAACATGACTTCATGTCTGTATCCTGTGGTGCAGGTTTGCTAGTGCTCATGTAGTCAAGGCCTACGTCCTGCTGTTCAGAAATTACCAGCAGAACAGCCCCCACACTAATCACTGCGTGGTCAAGATGTTGCACCGCATCGCCTGTGACGTCAAGATGGAGGCCTTACTCTTTCAGCTGTCGGTCTTCTGCCTTTTCAACCATCTTCTCAGTGACCCTGCCGCTGGAGCTTATAAGGTGAGGTGGAACAGGATGTGGGTTGGTTATGAGTTTGATTAGAGATTAGATTTGAATGGTAAGTTTTTGTAAACAAACTATTGTAAGTTGAGGACTGCCTGTATCGCATGTGTTTTCTTTGCCCTCTTAAAAAAAAATCCACAACCTCCAAGATCGGATTGGCCCCTGCTGGTCTTCCATAGAGCTGGTCTTTTTTGCTGGTGATTCATAAAGCACTGAAGACCTGGATAGTTACAGTGCTTGGAGGGTTGGGAAGTTAAATGGCCCGTTGAGTAGTTTCTATTTATCTGTTCTGTTGAATTCATGTTTAATGACGTATTTGGGTTTTTTTTTTCATTTTGCATATGTGTTTATTGTTTTAATGCATTGTTAGCTGCCCAGAGTCACATTTACAAGATAAACAGCCATATAAGCCAATTAAATAAACACACACACACATAAAACAATTTCCATTGCTGAACAAGACAGTTGTTAAGTGAGTTTTGCCCCATTTTATGACCTTTCTTGCCACAGTTGTTAAGTGATGCAGTTGTTAATTTAGTAACGCAGGTATAAATCTGGCTTCCCCACTGATTTTGCTTATCAGAGGGTCGCAAAAGGTGATCACGTGACCCTGGGATACTGCAATCATTGTAAATACATACCAGTTGCCAAGCGGTCGTAAGTCACTTTTTTCAGTGCCATTGCAACTTTGAACAATCTCTAAATGAATAGTTCTAAGTCAAGGACTACCTGTGATGCAAATTGCCTAGATCAAAGTGGGTGCTTTTTAAAAAAATCTATAAAAGATATTTCAGGACTTCAATTGCAGCTTAAAATACATGAATCATGCTATCCTGGACTTACTTGCAGCTCTGAAGCTGCAGGATATACCATCTATGGTTTAAATAAATGCAGAATGGCAGAACACAGAATCCTGCAGTCCTAATAAGCTTCTTCCGGTGGAGAAAGATAGGATATGTTGGGATTTCAGATTTCAGAATTCCTAATCAGTATTCACACAGCTCTTTTTCAAAGCCTTATTTGAATATGGAAATCAGACCACAACACCTGTGGAAAAGATGTCTGCAAAGATAATTGACATTTTTAATTCAGAATCCTCACACACATATAAATAAATGTATATTCCAAATTTCAAAAACCCTTTTCTGTATTCTTAATTTGGACGTGCATCCTACTTTCTCCCATCTAGTACAATATCCCTCAGTAAAACTAAAAAATATACAGAATACAGGTCAGCAATCTGCTTCACTGGGAAGGCAAGGGAACATTTCGTTAGTTCGTTCGTTTATTCATTCATTCACATTTTTGAACTGCCCACATCCTTTAGAAAATAAGAATTTTCTTTAATGAAATGCTTCCAAATATTGACTGTAGAAATGTAGTTAGCCCTCGCTTATTAACAATAATTGGGACTGGGGACTCTGTTGCTAAGCGACAGGGTCATAAGGCACAATGTCATGTGATTCTCTGACTTTCTGCATGACACTTGCCATTGGTAGGTGAATCCCATGTGGTCACAACATCTTGTAATCATGTGATCAGCATTTACAACTCCATTAACTTTGCTTATCTGAAGGTGGCAGTGAAGATTGCATATGGCAATCACATGACCACAGGATGCTGTGATATCGTTAATTACGATCCAGTAGCCAAGCACATGAACCATGATCATGTAACTGGGGGGATGCAGCAATGATTGCAACTATGAGGTCTTATTGTAAGTCCCCGTTATTCAGCTTCACTGAAACTTTGAATAGTCCCTGAATGAGTAAACGTTAAGTGAGGACCATTTATTCTCTTGAGCTTTTGGATTTACAACGATCAAAACAAAACACCTGTAAATTTTAGGAGCTGGTGACCTTTGCCAAATACGTTGTGGGCAAATTTTTCGCATTGGCATCGACCAATAAAAAAGCCTACATGGAACTGTTGTTCTGGAAAAACACAGCTGTGGTTCGAGAAATGACCGAAGGCTACACGGTGTCACGGGAAGATGGAAGGTGAGCCTTTGGGGTTTTGGTTAATACCTAATTTCTAGGGGTGGAGGACATTTTGAGAAATGTTGCACTGGATGCTGGATTGCTGCCCCCTTAGCATTGTCTGTAGGTTAAGAATTGAATAACAGAAGGAAGTACCTTCAGCCATTTAGACATGGTTCTCGAAATAGGGGAACCATGGTTTAAGAAAGCTGTGCATTTTAAGGGGGGGGCTAACCAAAGTCCTATCAAAAGCTGCTTTTGTTTCAGCCATTGATTTGAGCTAGAAAAATAGAAAGGAAAACCAGAAGTTGCTACTTCATATCCAGGATGCTAAAATTGTGGTGGGGAAAAAAGACAGACCCCTAATTTCTTTGATCAAACAGGCTTCCAGGATATAAGGACGTGTGTGTGTGCATGTGATAGGTTTATGGGTGCAAATCAGGGTGCTGGTTTTCACCTATAAACCCTACCTGGCCAACGACAGGTTAACGTTATATCAGGGGTGTCAAACTCAATTTCATTGAGGGCCGCATCAGCATGGCGGTTGCCCTTGGGGGGCCGGGTGAGTGTGGCTTACTGGGTGGGTGTGGCCTACTGGGTGGGCGTGGATGGAGTGGGTGTGGCCTGCTGGGTGGGCATGGCCAGCTCTACATTGTTCGCCTCAACGATGCCTGTGGGGCCTGGGCAGGAGTGGGACAGATCTGAGGGTCTCTGGAAGAAGGGGGGGGACCGGGGCAAGCGCCAAGGCATGGTCCATTTCTTCATTCCTCACAAAGGGTGACACCTCTCAAGCATGCACCCAGGGGGTGGGGCTAACGCGGCAGGGGCTGGTTCCTCGCTGTTTCTGGGCGGCCTTGTGGAGCTAAGACTGAATGCATTTCAGCATAGATGGCCATCACAAAATTGTACAGGGCCAAGGCAGCGGGGGCCGTTCTCTCACTGTTTCCAGGATGGCTTTGTGGGCCACATGAAACCTCTTTGCGGGCCGCATCCGGCCCCCGGGCCTTGTGTTTGACATGTCTGCTTTATATCAACATGTAGGAAGCCATATCAAACAATCACTAAGTTATTTTTGCTGGATGCCATCAGTTCTACATCAATCAGAAACCCAATGCATGCTTTTCTTTCTTCAGAAATGTTCAAATTTTAGATAATATTTCATGGGGGAAATTTTCTCACTAGGATATTTCTTTCCTTCGCAGTTCTAATTTGCACAAGGCCTCCCATTGGACTGAAGAGGAGGAGGAAGAACTTCAGGAGCTCTACCACAAGTATAAAGAAATGGAAGGTAGGCACCTAGTTGCAGGGAGGAGACGTCTGAAGAAAAGCCAGCTAATAAAGTAGTGCAAGATCAAAACTCGTTTAAGGGCCTTCCGTTCTGTGGCTGGTGAAAATGTAATTGAGTGCTTGGGGTGAGCTGAAACTTTTATAAGAAAAATTTGGGACCCCATGAGGAAGACTCTATTTGGTGGCCCACTGCAGAGCAGTCTCCAGTGTCTTCCTGACTCCTCTTTTTTGGAGTCCTAGTTTTGAAATGAAAGAGAAGTTTCTGAGAGAAGAGATTTCCAAAGTTTTTCATAAGCAATCACTGGGTTAATGTCCCAAGGTACCGTTCTTCAGCTGATAGGTTCTCAAATTCCAGCCTGCTCTAAAGCCGGGCAGCAACTGTTCTAAAGGTGCAGGTGAGTTCTGGTGCTATGGGTTTAGATTCTCTGGTGGGTTTGTTTTTAATCTTGCAAGCCTCCCAGAGTCACTTTATGAGATGGGAAGCTGTATAAATAATCTAAATTAATAAATGTTTTTTTTCATAGTTGAATAGAAGGCAGCATTAGCATGATACTTTTATCCTGACGTGTCAGGCTGCATTGTCAGAGTACGCTCTGTTAATGCACCTTTAGGCATGAAGGTATCATTCACATTTTGTTCTCCTAAAGAAAATAAGGGAAAGGAAGTGTGTGTGTATGTGTGTGTGTCTCTCTCTCTCTCTCTCTCTGTGTGTGTGTGTGTGTGTGTGTGTAAAAACGGGAGGTCGAGTTTTGAAACTGGTGCTGTATTGCAGAAAACTTAAAGGCTGCTGGTCAGCAAGAATGATTGTAGTGACTGAAAGTGAATTAACCAAGGAAAGATTATCCTTATAAAGGCTACAAATGGCTATTGGAGCCATAACTAGGCACATGCTGTGTACAGGTAGTCCTCGATTTACTATCACAATGGAGCCCCAAATTTCCATTTCTAAGCAAGGCAGTTCTTAAGTGAGTTTTGCCCATTGTATGGCCTTTTCGCCATTACCGTTAAGCGAATCAGTGCTGTTATTAAGTGAATCGTGTTCATTAAGCGAATCCGACTTCCCCCAATCAGTTTGCTTGTCAGAAGCCAGCCGGGAAGGTAACAAACGGGGACCACGTAAACACATGCCAGTTGCCAAGTGCTCGAATTTTGATCGTGTGACTGTGGGGATGCCGCAACAGTTGTTACGTGTGAAAACTGGCCATAAGTCACTTTTTTCAGTGCCCAACCCAGTTCTTTCGCTTCTCTCCACCACCTCAGCCATAGTCCAAGCACCAGGCCTTCCGTTCCTCTCACGTCTTGTTTTTCAACCCCAGGTGAAGATGTGCTTGACAACATCCTGTCACATCTCGGCTCTCATCCCCGGGGACGAAAGCAGGTGGCCAGGAAACTTGTGCACTTGGGGTTGGTGAGCAGCATACGAGACTTTCCTCAGGAGCGGTAGGTCACGTTAACACTTCTCGTGAATTCGGGATCTTCATAAACAGATTTCTTTTAAAACAAATGATGGGCATGAATCAGTTTGGATGCATATGGATGGGTAATGACCCAGGTGGTCCAGGCAAGGCAAGCCTCTAGAACAGTGGTTCTCAACCTTTTTAATGCCGCGACCCCAACGGGTCGTAAGTCGAGGACTAAACCGGTCGTAAGTCGAGGACTAAACCGGTCGTACGTCGAGGACTACCCAACCGGTCGTAAGTCGAGGACTTTCCCTGCCCGGGAGCGCCGCGCATGCGTGGTTCCGCCCCCTGCGCCGGCTGAGGCGTAGCTGGCAAGCGGCAGAGACTGAGCAGGCCGACCACCAGCTGGCCCAGCCCAAGGGAGGTAAGGCACCCGCCGGAAAAGGGGGAAAAAATGGCGGACAAAAAAAATGGCAGACAGCCTTGCTTGGCGACCCCCATGAAATGGTCGATCGACCCCAAATGGGGTCCCGACCCACAGGTTGAGAACCACTGCTCTAGAAAATTGTTTGTTTATCTCAAAAAATGACCCAGCAAACGGCCCTCCAACAACCGGTACAGCTCCACCTCCATGCTACCTTGAGGGCAGCCACCCTCAGTCCCCCAAACAACAGCCCCTATAGTACAACTAAGGTCCCCAGAGTAGGAGCATGATCACAGGGCAAGGCCCAGGGTTCCAAGTCCAGACCACAAGGCAGAGTCCAGGTCCAAGACAGTGGCAGTGCTCAGGGCAAAGAAAAGGTCCAAGGCAAGAAGCGGTTCCAAGGGCACAACAAAGCAAAGGCTAAAAGCAGCCCACAAAACAAGAGCAAGGTCCAAGACAAAGGGCAAAGAGCAATCTTCCAAGCGAGGCAAGGCAAACAGCAACAGACACGAGTCCAAGTCAGGGGAGTGTAAGCCAAAGCAAACCATTGTTCCTGGCAAAGGTTAACTCCCCATGGCTTCTCCTTAAGTCAATCCCCTCCTGGTGTTCCTTGTGAGGAGGGGTGGGGCGACCTCCTCCCGAGTAGCCTTGCAGCCCTTCGTTGGCCTTGCCTCTGCTCTGCTCTCCTTGCCTTTGGATCAAGTGGAGGAGGCAGCTGTTCCTCCTCAGAGGAGATCAGCTGCCTATCAGCACCACTGCCTGTCAGCAGATGATCCTCCCCTGTGTCTGTGAGGGCAGGCAGCTCTTCATCTGGTCGACCACCTCCCCAGTGCCTGAGGGGCCTGGGACAGCATTGTCCTCAGCCCCTGGCCTCTCCAAACATGCCAAGGGAGATGTGGGAAATATATCTAAGAACAGTCCTGTGGAACTTTATTGATTTCCATATTTCCATATTTCACTAACGCACTTAGCACTGGAGCTGCAAGCTTAACACATACTCCAAACAAAGTTTCATTCGGGGGCTTAACTCCTGAGTAAGTACATGGAAGAGGGATAAGCATCCTGGCTTGCAAGTTATTTGAATGCTTTAAAGACAGCAAATTGGTGTGATTTCCTGACACGTACTTAGGCCTGGTGTCCTGGGGACCGATGGAGCTCATTTCCTGGTTTTGCTGACGGGTTTTTATGATGCTTCAACTGCTGTGTGCTGTTGTATTTCTTATTTTGTATTTGTATACATTTTTATTTATTTTATTGTGAGCCACCCAGAGTCACGTCCTTGAGATGGATGGCTATAAGATGTATTTTATAAATAAAACAAGGATATAAGAGTTGTAGGATACAGATCGTTCTTGGTCAACGATGGTAATTAGGACCAGAATTTTCCACTGTTAAGCAAGGCGGTCATAAAGAGCGACACCAGGGGACTGCATCACTTGGTGACGGCAATCCCAGCACTCCCTCTTGCCGTTGTTAAATGAGGATCGTGGGTAGTTAAGTGAATCCCAAGTGACTCGCAGGCAGCTACAGTGCAGCTGGGTCAGGGGTGGCTGCTGCCAAGCAAGATAGAGCAAGCAAGTAACTCGGCAGAGCAACTTGCAACCTTTCCCGCCAGCTTCCGTATTGACTTTACTTGAGGGAAACTGCCAGGGAACCTCCCAAATGATGATCATGTGACTACAGGACACTGCAGCTGTTGTGAGGCAGTAGCCAAACTCCCAAATTGTGATTATGTGACTGTGGGATGCTGGGACAACTGGAACTTCAAGGACTGATCATAAGTACCATTTGTTCAGTGCCATTGTTACTTTGGAAATTAGTTAAATGAGAACTACCCGTAATTTTGACCCACTTAGAACAGGGGTCCCCAACCCCCGGGCCATGGGCCAGTACCGGGCCATGGCATGCCAGCAACCGGTCTGCACAAACAAGCAAAGCCCCATCCACGGGATGCAGGTAGCACACAAAAATCACACCCCCTCCAGTCCGCGGAAAAACCTCTCACCACATAACCGGTCCCTGGTGCCCCAAAGGTTGGGGACCTCTGACTTAGAAAACAAAACAGACCATAATACCCCTCCCCATTTTGCCTCCTCCCTAGAAATCCTAGCCCCATTCATTTGGCTGTTATTATCATTCTGCCCACTGTGGCTTCCGTTGCGCAACAAACTTAACATGGGCCCTTAGCAGCCAAAATATTGCCTTTCTCAATTAGAATATGTGTTCTAGAGACACCTTTGAAAAAAAAAACCAAGACTCTACACTTTGACAGACGAAATCAACTCTTGGGTATTTTTTGTTGCAAAGGCAGGCTGTTTTAACCTGTACTGTAGTGACAAGCCTGGTTTATTTCTTTCAGCAGGAAAGGGACCCGCATTGTGCTATGGACAGAGGATCAGGAGCTGGAGCTTTGCCGGCTCTTTGAGGAGTTCCGCGACTCCGACGGTGAGAGTGCCTGGCTGGCTGGCAGCAATTTCATCTACAGCCAACACAGTCGAGCTCTTGTGTCTGGAGGAATGAGATAAGCCGGGTGGAGATGAAGGAGCTGGGACCGGAAACTTTTTTAAGGCTACCCACACACCTTTTTTGGGTGGTTGAATTCTCTACTGTGGAGGGATTATTTTCCAGTGAGCCTCCTAAAGCTAAGAGTTACTCATCTCTATTTGTCAACCTCTGTCTCCCCATCACCAAGTTTTGAATTGGCTTCTCTGAAATAATTACAGGTAGTCTCTCTTGGAGCTAGCATGGGGAACTAAATATGCTGGTATACTCCTTCTGTTTGCTCACACTGCCTTCGCTTCTTTTCTCCCTCTGTAGATATCCTATCCAATGTAATGAAGCACATCACAGCGAAACGATCCAAAGCCCACATTATTGAGAAGATGCTTAGCATAGGGCTGGTGTCTGATCGCAAGGAACTTTACAAGAAGCGCAAGCGCAAAGCTGGTTCCCTTAGAGCGGTATGCTACACAAACACACCATCCTTTTTTCTATCTGCACATCTCACTTTGACAATGTGAGCACGCCTACATATATGCATCTATAGCAGACATGTCAAACACAAGGCCCGGGGGCCAGATGCGGCCCACGAAGTGGTTTCATGTGGCCTGCGAAGCCACCCTGGAAATAGTGAGGAAACAGCCCTCGCTGCCTTGGCCCTGGCCCAGGCCGGCCAGGAGCCAGTGTACAATTTTGTGGTGGCCATCTATGCTGAAATGCATGCAGTCTTAGCTCCACAAGGCCGTCCGGAAACAGCGAGGAACCATCCCCTGCCGCGTCGGCCCTGCCCCCTGGGTGCATGCTGGGGAGGTGTCACCCTTTGTGAGGAATGAAGAAATGGACCATCGCCTGGAAGTGGCCAGCAAATGGCCCTCGCCTACTTCACCTATCCGGCTTGATGGGCTCTGCCCCGGTCCCACCCCCCTTCTGCCAGAGACCCTCAGATCTGTCCCACTCCTGCCCAGGCCCCCACAGGCACCCTTGACGTGAATGATGTAGAGCTGGCCACGCCCACCCAGTAGGCCGCACTCACCCAGTAGGCCGCACCCACCCTGGCCACACCTGCCCGACCCCCTGAGGGCAACTGCAATGCTGATGCGGCCCTGAATGAAATTGAGTTTGACACCCCTGATCTACAGCATTTTAAATCCTGGGCTAGTTTGATTTATTTAATAGTAGGAGGGAAGGGATATATATATTTTGCTCTCACAGATGCAGATTCTCAGATATGATCTTCTTTGAGTTTTCTGCCAAAGGTGCATTTTCAAGAGGCAGCTGTCAGAGCTGAAGGAGCTTCTTGGAGGAGAAGCAAAACGTCTTCAAGGAAAAACAAAGAACGTCTAGTTGCTCTTGAAAAAGCACCTTTGGGACAACTCTGACCTGGATGATTAAGAATCTCCATAGTTGGTCTTTGAGCTTTCTTCTTTCCTTCTGCTCTACTTCTTCGAACGTCCATTTTTTCTCCCAATAGCATAGAATTGTTGTTCTAGTCCAGGGGTCTTCAAACTTGGGCCCTTTTATGACTTGTGGACTTCAACTCCCAGAATTCCTCAGCCAGCATACCTGGCTGAGGAATTCTGGGAGTTGAAGTCCACAAGTCATAAAAGGGCCAAGTTTGAAGACCCCTGTTCTAGTCAAATTGACATTTCCTTCAATCTGTCAATCTTTTCTAACTGAGCCTTTCAAAATATCAGTTAAAACAAAGGTAGCACAAGGGGTTTCCAAAATCTTACCTTTCTTTTAATATAAAATGTCCTCTAAGAGACCAATTTGAGTCAGCCAAAAATACTGGGGCGATAAGACTGCCATTATTACATCTGAGGTGATAGTTTTTTTTCTCTCTAGCGTGGATTATTGAAGGAGGAACACCCTAATTTAGCATCTCCTGCTGTTCCGTACTCTTAAGAGATGCTTAGTTTCTTTCTTTCAGAATAAAGCCTCGTTCCCCAACGATTCTGAGGTGCCTGACCTGGCTGAGATAGATGGTGAAGAGGAAGAGGAAGAGGAAATGGATGACTTGGATTGTGAAGAAGAAGAAGAAGAAGAAGAAGAAGAAGAAGAAGAAGAAGAAGAAGAAGAAGAACTGGCCAAGGAGAATCCTGGAAATGACAAGGATCAAAA